CCGCAACCGCAACCACAACCGCAACGACAACAACAACAACAACCGCAACCGCAACGACTACGACAACTTCGACAAAGACAACGACAACAACCGCAACCACAACCACAACAACCACAACCACAACCACAACAACCAACAAACAAACAAACAATCAATCAAACAAACAAACAACCAACAAACAACAACCAACCACAATAACAACGACAACCACAACAACAGCAGCAGCAACAACAACAACAACAACAACAACAACAACAACACCAACCGCAACCGCAACGACAACGACAACAAAGACAAAGACAAAGACAACGACAACAACCACAACCACAACCACAACAACAACAACCACCACAACAACAACCAACAAACAAACAATCAACCAAACAAACAATCAACCAACAAACAATAACCAAACAACCGCAATAACAACGACAACCACAACAACAACAACAACAACAACAACAACAACAACAACAACGGCAACAACGGCAACAACGGCACCAACAGCAGTAGCAACACAACAAACCAAGTTCAGGAGCGTGTGGAGGAGGCCATGAAGGCGGGCTGGGTTTCGAAGCTGCGGCTTCCATTGCTGACTTGTTCCTTCCTGGGTCAGGCATGGGAGCAGGCGAACGCGAGGGTCGAGGCCTTGCGCGCCCAAGCAGCGGAGCGGCAGGACCAATCTCAAATACTGCAGACGGGCAAAATCCTGCACCTTGCACTGTGAGGACTGCCCAGTCCTCCAGGCTGCGCTGGCGATGTCTCTGAAGGCCTTGCGCCCCTCACACTTGCGCAGCGCGCTGCAGCCCCAAACGCCAAAGTGTAGGACCAAAGCGCGGCCTACGACCACTTTCAGAGGCAGCTCAGCAAGAGCACGGAGCCGCCGGTCAAGAAGGTGAAGGACGGTCGTTTTTTTCCATGAGTTGTGGCTGAGATCTGCTGCGCGACAGCCCGGCGCGCGCAGGAAGAGCTGGATGACGGCGAGGACTCGAGGCAGGGCCCATCGATGAGACGACATGAACGTTGTGCCGTTTTCTGTCGCTTTGCGCAGGAGCGAAGCAGCTTCAGACTGCCCGTCACTGAAGCTCAAGAGGACAGCGATGACTGCCTTTCGCGCTCCCGACATTGAATCTGCTTGCAGGAGGGTGCGGCTTGGCGGCGTTGCCATCAGCGGCTCCAGCCGTCGCGGGAGCTTCCTGTGGAAGATCGTTCAGGCGGCGAGGAGGAGGCAAGGGGCACAGTGATAGAGTACACTGAAACCACATGTGTAAGTCTTTTGGATACTTGTGCCAAACACAAGCCAACCAGAGCACGGCAGACCAAAAGCAAAAGAGGGCCCGGTGGAGTTGTGCCCTAAAAGACAGAATGCCTTTGTCAGCCTTTTTCGACTATCATGGAAGGGAACAAGCGTGGTTTCGAGAAAAACTCATCTAGAGACAACCAGAGCCTGGCACAGGCTCAAGAAATCAATCAAGGAGGAGGGCAACTCGGACGACGAGCCTGACAATGGAAGGCTTGCGGGCTTGCCCTTTGATGAGCTCCCCTCTGTCATCAGGGTTTTGCGAGGGGGGTCGCTTTCATATGATGGGATGCGCTCAAAGCGTGGGAAACAGCTTGGCGAAACCTCAAACAACGATTACTTGTTTTCCTGGAAAGCCTGAAAGGCGCCAGCTACTCTCACGTGCGAAAGTCGTTGCGTTTGACACGTGGTCCCCTGAGACGGTTTCATCGATCAAGTTGAGGTTTTTTGGGTAGACCGCGTGAATTGGCACACATGGAAAACACGTTCCCTCAAACATTTTTGCGGAGCAGTTTGCGTTGGGGATGCTGAGGCAGGCCACACGCCTGAAATTAATCGCCCTCAACAAGATTCCTAGAACCCGGGTCTTGGAAGGCTAAACGCATTGGCGCACGCCTGAAAACACGAATTAATCTTCAACAAGATCTCCAGAGCAGCTTGCTTTGGTGAAGTTGAGGCTTGGGGAGACGAAGCGTCAACCGGCAAACGCATTAAGCACAGCTAGCCCACAGGATTTGCAGAGCAGTTTGCTTCAGCGATGAAATCTTTTCGGTAGGCGTTGAGGTAGGTCGGGTAAGGCCAATCACATTGGCAAACCAGGATATGACATTGGGCGGCTGCGCGTTCTCCTTCTTCTTCTTTTTTTTCGGACACGTTTAAGACTCATCTTTGGACTTGTTTTATTTGGACAAACTTGCCAGACGTTCCTGCCTTTTCAAGGTCTTTACCTGCTAGGCCACGCGAGGTTTTGAAAGGGTTGAAGTTTTAGGAACGCATTGAACTGCGCTTGATCCGAATGTGCCATGAGGCTTGCCTTCTTAGCAGTGCTCGTGCGTATAATTACTAATCAGTTGAAAATTGACTGTTGTGGTTTGAGTGAATGGGGCGACATCCTCACGCTCTGCGCAGCGGGCAACTTCTTAGTAAAGCGCATCAGAAAGTGCCCATAGCCCTGCTCCAGAGCCACTTTCATTTGCGGTGCGCATCAACTCTTCCGAGAACAGCCCCCCTAGCGGGAGCCTGTTTTCAACTGGGATTGTATACAGACATATTTCTAAACGCGGGCTATGTCTTTCTGCGACCCTGTTGGTAATGTCTACCTCGGATTAATAAGCACCCCCCCCCCCCGCCCCTCAAACAACTTCCCTCCCTAAATAGTGTTCTGAACTTGATTATGAATTGCTAAGTATTGCACACAAATTTGTGTGGTTCAATTGATTTAGTATTGCGGGAGCCTACTTTTGAGATTGGATTCGGGTCTCCAATTGTTTAGTATTGGTGGATTTGAGTTTTTAATTCAGTTTGTATTGCTGGAGCCGGCCTCCTTTTGAGATTTGACTTGAGGGATTTGAGTTTCCTATTGGTTTAGTATTGCTGAGGGATTTGAGTTTCAACTGGTTTAGTATTGCTGGAGCATCTTTTGAGATTTGACTTGTTTGGATTCCAATTGATTTAGTATTGCTGGTGACACTTCTATTGTTTGGGGGGGGGGGGTAAGAAGGAATCTTGATTTAGGGGGGCCCCCTAATAATGTTTTTTCAACCCCCAAGTACTACCGCCCTTGTGGGGTTGATTGGGGGCCACTTTTTAAACAAGCGTTTGTAAAGATTTTGCAGTTCGGGAGCTGGGTTTTTGTTGGTTGCAAAAGCTAGATGATTGAAATCATAGGGAGCAAGTTTCAAGGGACATCTTTTGAAGATTGAGCCTTTTACTGAGAAAGCCTTTTCAAACACGAGTTGAGCATTTTTGGGGGGGGGCAACCAATAATCTTTATTTAGGGGGAACCTCTAAATAAAGTCTTTTTCAATCCCCAAGTACTACCCCCCCTTGTAGGGTTGATTCGGGGCCACTTTTCAAACAAGACCATGTAAAGAATTTGCAGTTTGGGAGCTAATACTTGTTGTAGATCTGAAATTTTAAGGCAGGCGAGGCAGATACTGACCAATCAGACAAGCTGGTGGAAGAGGTTGAGAAAATGCTAGCGGGTGTGTGTGTGTGTGTGTTGTTTGGTGTGTTTTTGTGAGTGTGTGTAGATTCCCCGCCAAAAAAACACAAAAAACAACATAACTGTATTTCGGGGGGTTTATTAATCAGTGCCGGCCCACAACATAACTTTAATCGGGGGAGGTTTTTAAATGATAGGGTATTGCGTGCGCAACGTCCGCGAATCCGAGAAGGGGCAAGCAAAACACATTCAGCATACTACTCGTTAGGTGTTTTGTGAGATTGAAAAATGTCCTCAGACTACAGCGCAATCCTTAAGGATATCCAACTTTGTTGCAAGTGTTTTGGATCTCCCATTTTTCCCGTATTCGCGCTTCAACTCTGAAGCCTCCTAGCTCCAGCATACCTTTCAACCTTGAAGCTTTTGGGCTTTCGAAACCCAGAGACCCTCCAGTAAATGTCCGGTTGTTTGCGACTTTGCGTTGCTGTTTTTTGTCCGAAAGCCAGGCTAATTACCCATGCGTTTACCTCGAGTATCCCTTCACCAAATATTGTAGGCAAGGGGCTCGGCATATTTGTCTTTAATGATTTCAAGAGTTTGGCCCAACTCAGTGAAACCAACATTGCCCTTCTGCCTGTAAATATTTAATGCTTGCAGCTTTCCTTTTCATAGAAAGCTACTTGTTTTCATTTGATGCCACCTTTTGGGCTGAGAGCACCGCCTGGACCTGTGGGCGAGCGACAAACAGCAACAGCCAAGCGTGAGCGCACGGCTGCACGCGATTGTTTTCATGGCGCTGGCGATTTTCAACCTGGGAATTTGAATAGCTTGGACCAACTCCATCAAGCCAAAGCTACCTTTGGTTCATGTGTGCTGCTTTAGTTCCCAATTTCTACTCTTAAAACCCATCAACACTACATATAGTCAGTGACATCAAAACTACTTGATGCCACCCTAAAACTCATCAACCAATTGTGCATCATGTAAAGCTGAGGCACATGTGAAACCCAAAAAGGGTGCTCGCAAAAACGACTTTCTTGACCCCCTTTTGACCCCACGCCAAAGTGGCCCAAGGCTGAAAGCCTGCGTGCGATTGTTTTCATAGCGCTGGCGATTTTCAAACTGGGAATTTGAATAGCTTGGACCAACTCCATCAAGCCAAAGCTGCCTCGTTCATGTGTTCTGCTTTAGTTCCCAATTTCTACTCTTAAAGCCCATCAACACTACCTATAGTCAGTGATCGCAAAGCTACTTGATGCCACCCTCAAAACTCATCAACCAATTGTGCATCATGTAAAGCTGAGGCACATGTGAAACCTAAAAAGTGGCTGGACAAATTGATTTTCTTGACCCCCTTTTGACCCCACGCCGGCTGAAGCACCGCCTGGACCTGTGGGCGACCAACAGCAACAGAGAAGCGTGAGTGCACGGCTGCATGCGATTGTTTTCATGGCGCTGGCGATTTTCAAACTGAGGGTAGCTTGGACCAAGCGCTTTGTTCGTTCTTCATCCCAGGGCCGTCTTTGCTTCAGGAGCTGTTTAAACACTGAAGCTTTTACCCGCTACGCACTTCCTAATCCAGGGCCGTCTTTGATTCGAGAGACCCCGTGCACCTGTTCAAACACTGAAGCTTTTACCCACTTCTCGCTTCCCAAAAGATTAAAGATGAACAATGCGCTTTGTTCGTTCTTAATCCCAGGGCCGTCTTTGGTTCAGGACACCCCAAACATAAACAATGCGCTTTGTTCGTTCTTAATCTCAGGGCCATCTTTGGTTCAAGAGACCCCACACACCTGTTCCAACACAGAAGCTTTTACCCACGACGCGTTCCCAAAGATTAAGATGAACAATGCGCTTTGTTCGTTCTTCATCCCAGGGCTGTCTTTGCTTCAGGAGATCCCAAAGACCTTTTTAAACACTGAAGCTTTTACCCGCTACTTTACCCACCACGCACTTCCCTACAGATGCAAGATGAACAATGGGCTTTGATCATTCTTAATCCCAGGGCCATCTTTGACCAGGGCCATCTTTGATTGGAGAGACCCTGCGCACTTGTTCAAACACTGAGGCTTTCTTCCCAACAGATTCAAGATAAACAATGCGCTTTGTTCATTCTTAATCCCAGGGCCATCTTTGGTTCAAGAAACCCCGCACACCTGTTCAAACACTGAAGCTTGTACCCACTACACGCTTCCAGCTTCTGTGTTGGAACAGGTGTGTGGGTTCTCCTGAATCAAAGATGGCCCTGGGAGTAAGACTGAACAAAGCGCGTTGTTCGTCTTAATCTTTTGGGAACGCGTAGTGGGTAAAAGCTTCAGTGTTTGAACAGGTGTGTGGGGTCTCTTGAATCAATGATTGCCCTGGGATGAAGACTGAACAAAGCGCATTGTTTGTCTTTTATGTGTTGGGAAGCGTGCAGCGGGTAAAAGCTTCGGTGTTTGAACAGGTGTGTGGGGTCTCTTGAATTAAAGATGTTCCTGGGATTAAGAATGAACAAAGCGCATTGTTCATCTTTTACCCACTACGCGCTTCCCAAGAGTTTAAAGATGAACAATGCGCTTTGATCGTTCTTAATCCCAGGACCGTCTTTGTTCAAGACACCCCACACACGTGTTCAAACACTGAAGCTTTTACCCACTACGCGCTTCCCAAAAAAATTAAAGATGAACAACGCGCTTTGTTTGTTCTTAATCCCAGGGCCGTCTTTGATTGGAAGCAGCATTGATTAACGGGTTGCGCGTTGTGCGGTTTACGGATTAGCTCATGCAGCTTGCGGACTGCACATTATGCGTTGCGGGTATTGGATCAGGTTCTGTGTTACGCTTGGCGCAAGTATGACACCCTTCGGAAAAGACTCAGATAAACAGGGTAAGTCCTATGTTGTAGGACCAGATTGCCCTGTAAGAGGCACAAGCGAAACGACACACGATGAGATGACATAATATTACAGGCCAGAACTGACCACGGACACGCCGATGCCTTGCCACCCGCTAGTTTTCGTTCCCTGCTTCGCAAGTGGGTTGACACTTTTGGTTGTGAATTTCAACAGACTGGCCCAACTCTGTCAAACCACAGAAACCTATTGTGCCCTGTGTTTTGTGTACCTTTTCATTCATCCGTTCATTCACTCACTCACTCACTCACTCCTTCACTCCTTCACTCCTTCACTCCTTCACTCCTTCACTCCTTCACTCCTTCACTCCTTCGCTCCTTCACTCCTTCACTCCTTCACTCCTTCACTCCTTCACTCCTTCATTCATTCATTCATTCATTCATTCATTCATTCATTCATTCATTCATTCATTCATTCATTCATTCATTCATTCATTCATTTTATCATTGCCAGTCGTGTCATGTCATTTCATTTCATTGAGTTTCATTTCATTTCATTTAGTTTCATTTCATTTCATTTCATTTCATTTCATTTCATGCATTCACGGATTCATGGATGCATGGATTCATGGATTCATGCTTCCATTCATTGATCCCCAAGCTATTCAAATTCCCAGTTTGAGAATCGCCAGCGCCATCAAAGCAGTCGCACGCTTAGCTGTCGCTGTTGGTCGCCCACAGGTCCAGGCGGTGCTTTCAGCCTTGGGCCACTTTGGCGTGGGGTCAAAAGGGGGCTAAGAAAAACGATTTTCCCAACTCCCTTTTTAGGTTTCACACCCTGCCTCAGCTTTACATGATGCACAATTGGTTGATGAGTTTTAAGGGTGGCATCAAGTAGTTTTTGCGATCGCTGACTACATATAGTGTTGATGAGTTTTAAGAGTAGCAATTGGAAACTAAAGCAGCAGACATGAACGAAAAGGTAGCTTTGGCTTCATGAAGTTGGTCCAAGCTATTTAGGTTCCCAGTGTGAAAATCGCCAGCGCCATGAAAACAATCGCGTGCAGCCGTGCACTCACGCTTGGCTGTTGCTGTTGGTCGCCCCCACAGGTCCAGGCGCGGTGCTTTCAGCCTTGGGCCACTTTGGCGTGGGGTCAAAAGGGGGTCAAGAAAATTGTTTTTTCCAACCGTTTCATGTGCCTCAGCTTTGCATGATGCATAATTGGTTGATGAGTTTTAAGGGTGGCATCAAGTACTTTTCGAACAACAGGTTTGCCGCGAGCGTTTCAATTACAGGCAGAAGGGCAATGTTGGTTTCACACAATTGGGCCAAACTCTTGATATCATCACAGAATATGCCAAGCCCCTTGCCTACAATATGTTTGTGTAAGGGATACTCCAGGTAAACGCGTGGGTAACATGCCTGGTTTTCGGACAAAAAACAACAACGCAAAGTTGCAAACAACCGGACATCACTCCCGGAGGGTCTGGATTTCGAAAGCCCAAAAGCTTCAAGGTTGAAAGGTGTGCTGGAGCTAGGAGGCTTCATAGTTGAAGCGCGAATACGAAAAACGGGAGATCCAAAACACTTGCAACAAAGTTGGATATCCTTAAGGATTGCGCTGTAGTCTGAGGACATGTTTCAATCTCACAAAACACCTAACGAGTAGTATGCCGAATGCGTTTTGCTTGCCCCTTCTTGGATTGGACGTTGCGCATGGTGCACAATACCAACAGGATCACAGAAAGACATAGCCTGCGTTTAGAAATATGTTTGTACACAACCCCAACTGAAAACAGGCTCCCGCTGGGGGGGGCTGTTCTGGGAAGAGTCGATGCACACCGTAAATGAAAGTGGCTCTGGAGTAGGGCTATGGGCACTTGCTGATGCGCTTTACTAAGAAGTTGCCCGCTGCGCAGAGCACGAGGGTGTCGCCCCACTCACTCAAACCACAACAGTTGGTTGTCCGCATTCGGGTTGTTGCATAATGTTGAACCGGTTATTTGCGAAATTGTTTCCCCAGACACGCCACGCGTCAGGCAGCATCAATGAGACTTTCGGTTACGCATGGACTTCTGTGACTTGAACTTGCCTTGCTAGACAACTGAAAACCTCACGCTTTTTGGGCACAGGAAGCTCAAATAGAAGCACAGCACTAGTCGGTGCGCCGTGGATTGAAGCACACCTGATTTTTGTTGCCTGCGACATCCTGCGATGCTCCTCATGCGTAGCATTCCTCGCGCGCTTCCTTCCGAAAAGCGGATGTTTCACAATTTATTCATTGAGTAAGTTTGTTCAATCTGCAGATTACCTTCGCACATCAACTGCTATAACGCAACTACACATTCTCTGCTGCAGCAAACCTTTTCGCAGCAGTGAGTAGACCAGCGACGGATCATCAACAGTCTCCCACTCGGCCATCGGACGAGGTGTCGGGCCATCGAGGACCTTTTGCAATTTTCCGGTCTACCACTCCAGGACACAAAGCATCTACTTCAAAGCCCTTAAGGAGTTGCACGGCACCGCGTTACTGTGCTCGATGAACACATGCGATTTCTCAAGTAAGGAAAAGGAGTTACTGAAGGCAAACCACTGCCACACAAAGCAATTGCGACTGAATCGCCACATTTATAATGCGATCATGCCAAAACACATGCTCTGCAAGAGGTTCATCACAAGCTCAAGTAAAGCCCAAGTAACGAAAACCATGCCCAAAAGCAGTCAAAACTTAGATTCCCTCGACCGCCCCCTCGCTTCCAGGTAACAAAAAGAGTTGAAACTATGCCAAAGAAGCTCAACACTGTTTACGTTCAATAGTAATGTGTAGTTTACTTGTACTAGTATGTTTTAACTGTTTGAGAACACAGTAGTAAATCCTTATTCGTAAATGTAAAATTTAGAATAAACCCATCAAGTAGTAGATTCACTAATTTTGCAGACTAAGGGTTGTTGAGCATGCGATTTGCCATTGGCTTGATTCAGTTGCAGGGGCCCTTCCCGAGCACCTCGTTGCGTTGGTTTTATTGGCAGGCTGCGGGCTTTCAAGAAGAAGCGAAAACGCAAGGGCTTGGTCGGTTTGGTTGGGTGTGCCGTGTGACGGGAGAAGCTTGCGCACAGGTCCGAGAGCTACGTTCGCAAGCCCCGGCAAGTCTTCATCTTGCGGCGAGCCCAGCAGGACGTGAAGGACAGCACGTTTTTTTCTAGAGAGCCTGACAGGAATGATGGGCCACAGAATTCGCACCACGATCGGCAAAGTTTGTCTGCGTAGGAGTGGGACCCTGGCGCAGCTTACGCAGACGTTGACCAAGTCTTGGAAAGCTGGGTGCACCTCCTCGAGCTTCGCGACGCGCGGACTCTGCTCTGGGCGCACGAGCGGATCTCTTCGTGCTTTAGGCGCGGCAGTCCGCCTGAGTGCAGCGATGTGTGTTTGGGGACAAAGACGGCCAGGCATGGAGAGCACCAAGGACGACCCGTCGCAAGCCTCGTAGCGGACCTGCGCAACGGCCTGGACTCGATGGACATCATGCCGTTGGTAGGCACGAGTGGACAGCTCCGTTGTTACGTTTTGGAAGGGCCTTTAAAAACCAGCAGGGGGCAATAAAAACGACTCTCAACCAAATGGAGGCTAACCTTCCTCTACCCGAATCGGTTTTGAGGACGTGGCCCAGCTGAGACAAACCTTTTCGCCACCCAAAAAGGGCATCTCAAGGCACATCGGCCCGAGCATTGGCATTGGAACTTACAGGGTCCTCCAGTAGAGATGGTTGAACAAGGGTACCTTTTATTGTAGTTTATTTTAGTAGGGGAACCTCCCCCAAAAAATTGGTTAAAGGGCACTACTGGGGGACCTAGTTAAAGGGTCCAGGTGCGCCTCCGCGACAGGTTGGAGGTATGAGGGATTCCTTCAAACCTGTAATAAGTAAAGGACCTAGAAATCATAGCCAGTGGATCCCTCGCACCCATGTTCTGCTTCTTTCTCTTCAGGCCGCCGTGGCCGACGCTTTCTTTTGTCACTTTTGCTTGGCAATTGACAGGTGTGGAGGACGAGCGAGGAACGTGGGTGATCTCCGGCAACCGGAGGCTCCATGCGCCTGGAGCCCAAAGATTGTGCTTCTGACAAGCGGCGCCCACGCTGATGACTGAGGTTGAGAACCTGGGCTCTCGAGTGCGAAGGGGAGGTGCTGGTGCGGATTCTCGTGCACAAGCACGGGAAGGACATTCCGCAGTCTCTCTTCGCGAAGTACGTGGCTTGGCCGCACCTCAGCGGCCTCTTTCGGCTGGCTCTGGCCTGCCTCTAAGGTGGAGGCCTCGACGAGCAGAACGGGAGGCTGGCCAGAAGTGGGCGGCGCATGCTGCTTGGCACCAGTTCAGCGGCAAAAGAAAAAACGGGATACACAAAAAAGGAACTGCGTGATGTTCGCGTAGGTCAGCGTTGGGGTTGGTGGCATCCGCATATGCGTGTTTTTGGGGCTTCTGCAATGATTGGGAGAGCAGCTAAATGATGGCTATGAGAAATCTCTCGCTCTCTCTCTCTCTGTTGGCGCCAGAGTGGTCTCAACCGATTTTGGCAAATGCCAAGCTCGCTACCACGAGCCGACTGTACGACAGGGTCGACTGTACGACAGGGCGAAAACGCTTGCGTGCCAAGCAAGACGCCTCCAAACGGCTACCCCTGAAACGCAAAGGGAACTCGTGGCCTGACAAGGTCTTCCAAGAGACTGCGCCTGCGCAGCGAAACGACACGCAATGCAAAGACACGACTCACGCACAGGGCCAGTGAAAACAACACTCATCGATCTATCAAAGCAAAAACACGCTTCCACGACAAATCCTAATGGGGCATGCCTATTCGCCTCGCCGCGGACGGTTGCGGCTTCTGGAACAACTCCTAGTGAACACGCCCTCACCCCCAGACCCCAACTAAAAACCGGTAAACCTTCGCTACGCGTGTGGGAGAAATCAACGGGAGGGTAATATGCTTCATGAATAGAAACCGCCAGGGCTCACCAAAACGAGAAGGCCTTCCAGAAGCCACTTTTAAGTAACGGGGTTGCAATTGGCTCAATGACGCTGAGGCGGCTGGCAGCGCTCCACGGCATCGGCCAAGGCATCTCCAGCCGCGGCGCTTTGGCAGCAATCGTGAGGGTTGGAGGCCAGAAGAGGGGAGCCCTAAGGACAAAGCGCCAGGTTTGAGGCGGCGAATTCAGGCTTGAGGCTTGCGAGGCTCCGGCTGTCAGCGTCCTCACAGCGCTTGTCCAAAGCGAATCGACTTTTTGACTTTTTGGTTTTCTTGTTATGGCCTTTTTTTAGCCAAAGCCGCAAGCGTTAGCCGTAAATTTCCAGGACTTTTGGGCAAGTGAGTGTCACAGCACTTTGAGGCAGACATGTGTAGTGGATCCGCCTCCGGCCCTGGCTGCAAAGGCCATTCAGACCACCCCGCCCCAACAAGCAGTGGATGCCCATGTTGAGAGGGACACATCCATAACCGTTGGGTGATGAAACAGAATGACCGCAAACAAGCGCCACTTATTTGTTCTGCCCCCCCAAAAAAAACACGTGTGGCTCATGACCAGTACTTCACGCTTCCTCTTTCCATGCAAACATGAACAGCGATTTTCCGAGGCGTAGCCTATGTTGCTGGCTTGCCGGCGTCAGGTTTTACTTTGAACAACCCAGACAAGAGGGCTTCTTCCTTGGGAGGGGCCTTTGGCAGCGCTAATTGTTTTTAAACGTGAATGAGGGGGTGGTCAAGCCAAAAGGAAAATAGGCAACCCCGTTGGAAGCGTTAGAAACACCGGAAACCTCGAAACATGTCGATTCACCTCCAGTTCCCGGAGCGAACTTTGGACTGTCGTAAGGTGCAAGATCAAGGCCGGCCGTCTGTCAAGAGAAGATGCTTGTAGGCAGGGTTGGTTCAGAGATGACTCACCCTGGCCCTCGACCGAAGTTGCTGAAAAGCAAATCGGTGCTTGGGTGGAGATGCGTCGTTCTGCCGGGGGCTTGACCTTTGCCGATGAAATTGCAAAAGAGCTGCTTGTCCATTTGCATGGCGTTTGGCATTGCCAATCAGAGGCATGCGGCTTGCTCCGGCAAACTTCGGACAGCAAACTGCGCACAGGCCCAGCGTTGCCAGCAACCTTTCCCCAGCTGCAAGGCGAGGGCGCGCTGCGTTTGTTCAGCATCTTTGGAAGTCAACGGCTGTTTTCTAGCGTCCTTTGCACTTCGCCTGTTGCTTGCTGTTGCCCACCTTTGACTTCTATTAAACCAGTTCAACCCCAACTTGTCTTGACTCAAGACAGTTTTTCGTATCAACACGGCGGTCCATGGTCTACGCAAAAGTCCTTGGCGCGAAAGCTTGTTTTTCATGTGAAAGCGCGCTTCAAGGGCGAATTTTGACACCGCTGTTTTCTTGGAAAGCAGGTCCTGAGTGACCCTGTCAGGAAGGTGGGAGGGCAACGACGCCACGTATGTGGTTTTCCCTTTTGGCTGCGCCACTTGGTCTGCAACCAACCACTCTGGCAGCATTGAGTTTCTGAGAGCCGCACTCAAGTCACAGTTTTGCCAGGAATGGCGATGTCTTCGATCGAAGGCAGGCACAGTCAAATGCTTTAGCCGCTTGGCTCCCATGCTCTCGGCCTCCTGACGCCGCCCTTGTCGCGTCAAAACTCCGCGTCGATCGCGCGCCCAGGCTTGAGCTACCGCGCTGGCGATGTCACGTGGGGCTTCGGGCGCTTCAAGGCCAGGCTCCTGGACTCGAAGCTGCTCTGGCCTCTCGGCGGAAGAAGAAAAAAAAACGCCAAGCGGAACGGCGAGGGCTCCGGACGGCGCGGCTGTTGGGCGGCTTTAAAAAAAAAAAAAAAAAAATCTGGCCTGCCAGCGTTTTTCTTGGGAATACGGGAGCAGAGACAAAGTGAAAATGAAGCAAACTGGTGGCAAGGGCCTTGAACTTGATAGTTTGTGGACAACAAAATCGGAGTGTGAGAAGGTGGAAGGGTCTCCTGGCGAAGGTCACGGAAGGTCACGCTCTGGCCTCTTTTGGAAGTTGCCATGCGTCAGGGCCAGTGGCTGGTACGAATTGTGACTATCAGGGCCAAGGGCCAACACGGACCAGTAAGGGCTGTTGCCTTTTTGGGCTGTGGCCTTTTTGCGGCTACCCTTGCTATGGCTTTGAATGTATAATTATCAGGTGAGGTGACGTGGGTTTTTTGCAAGAAATTCTAGTGGCCGTTTTACTTGTCAACAGTGCATATAGAAATAGGTAGAATGCGGGTGCTGTGTAGCGCAAACAAGCCATGATCGCAGCAGAATGTTATATGATTTATCTAGCCTACATCCCATCTCTTTTGGGGTGTCCCCTAGTTTCTGGGAGGTTTCAACTTTTTTCCACATCCTTCCGGGCAAATTAGTTTTTTTCCCCATTGAGGCCTTTGAATATTTTCGCAAATTGTGTGAATCCGAGGCTGGATGAAATTGGACAAATTGCATTTGAATGGCACCGATAAATACAAATTAATATAGATTATATTTTGAAAATGATTTTGAGGAAAAATATAATTGAACATTAATTAAATAGAATAAATATATTTATTATAATTAAAATACTAATTGATATATATCTATATATAAAACATAATAAAAAATAATAATGGGAAAAAATAATAATAATTTATAATTAATTTATTAGTTTAGATATTTGATAAATATTTTAAAATTTAATATATATAGAATTATATAATTGAATATGAATTAAACATATATAAAATAAAAATATAACAACAAATTATTGATATATTTGGAATTTAATATATTTATAATATATTGAAATAATAAATTATGAAATATAATGAAAAATTTTAATATTGTAAGTGTTAGTAAGGCATATATTGATATTATTTTTGTGATATTGTTTGTTATATATGAATTCTTTTTTCTTATTTACAATGTTGAAGTTAAGTATGTAATTTGTTTTTTGATGTTTAATATGTTGTAATGTATTTTTTAGTGGATTGTATGGTTTGTATTTGTAATATTTAGGGTTTTAATTATTATATATAGATTATTTATTGATTTTGTGTTTATGTTTGTTGTTTTATATTATTTGTTTATAAACATTTAGATATACGAAATTTGTGTAATTTAGCTAGAAATCGTTTTGAAATTTGTTTTTTTTTTTTTTTTTGGAAAGAATATTAAATATGTATTTATATTTTTTTATATTTATGAATTTTAATAAGTTTTAAAATAAATTCTGATTAATTTTCCTAATTTCATATATTGAGATTGTTCGCCTATTGTATGCGGATCTTTCTCTCCTATTTATAATGTTGAAGCCAAACACTTATATTGCAAATTCAATATTGTAATAGGGGAAGGGGGACTATATTTTCCTTAGTAAATCGTATCTTTTGGTTTCTTGCTCCGTACTTGGCTTTAACCATACATATTATTTAGTTGTTAAAATAATTAATTTTAAATTAAAAAATTAAATTAGATTATGAATTATAAAATATATTAAGAATATAATTGATTTATTATTTTTTAATTTATATATTTTATGTATTTATATATTATTTTTTGTATTTCTAAAACAGATTGGATAAAGAACAGATTGGATTATTTTAGCCGTTTTGGTTTGAATAGTTCTTCTTATATTTATTTTTTTAATTTTTGTTCCTTAAATATATTATATATTTAAAAATATTTAAAATTATATAAAATATATTTTTTATATTATAATATTATTATAAATATATTTATATTATAAAGAAATAACATTATATTTTTAGAAGGATTACCCCCAAGCTTGTATTAGGGTTAATATTCTATTAAAGGTTCCACCAAAATTATATTAAGATTTTACAAGGAGTCTATAAGGCCAATAAGATTAAAATTATTTAAATATATTTTATTTACAATATATATATATATAAAATTAATATATTTAATTAATATATAACCATTATTATATAAATAAATATAAAATATATATATTAAATTATAATAATAATATATTATAAAGATATAATTTAATTTAAATAATTTAATAAATATATATATATATAAATAATATAATAATTAAATAAAATAAAAAATATATAAATAATTAATTAAAAACCATATATATATATATTAAAATATAATACCACAATTTTATATAACCACAAACATTAAAACACAAAAATAAAATCCATCAACATCAATCAAATATATAAATAATAATCCACAATTTAGTCTTCCTTCAGAATCCTTTATCAAAAAAAAAAAATGTATTAAAAAAAGAATATAAATATTCCGAATATATATATATATAAAATCAATATCCTCAATATCATTAAAAATATCTTATTTTAGATGTTTTTTGTTTTAATTGTGTCACGGAAACACAGAACCACAAAGCCACAAAACGAACAAATTAGAACAATATAATCACACAACCACAGAACAATACAACCAGAAACGCAAAAACACAGAACAACGCAACCACAGAACCACAGAAGCACACTGCCACAGAAAACAAAAACACACAGATACAAAAACACAGAAAGCAACCACATAACCACACCACAACAGAACCACAGAACCAAAACCACAGAACCACACAACCACTCCACACGTTGTTGCTGCCCGTGCTGTCACAGTCCCCGGAGCCTCGGCATGTGTGTCGTCATTGCGCTTGGGTGTTCGCGCTCGCATTTCTCGCAGCCACCCTGCATGCCTCTACAATCGGGCCAGTATGAAGGCCAAGAAGCTTGCTAGCCCAATTTTTTCCAGTGCCCCAACCGCTTCCTTCTTGCCCTGTCACGCCCCCCAGCCAAAAATTGGCCGAATTTCGGCCTCCTGGCGCTCCTGTCCAGAGGCCAGCAGCGTGTGCTTCGCAACTGGCGACGCACAGAAGCACAAGGCGGCACACGCGCAACGCACGCAGCGCCCTCACGCGCCAGCGCAAAGCACGCGCGCACGCAAGGCGCCAGCACACAACGCAACACACGTACGTGCGCGCGCGGCAACACAGCGCAACGCTCGCGCGCGACGCACGCGCGCAAGGCACCCAGGCATGCGGCACAGCGCAACCCGACAAGCATGCAACGCGCACGCTAGAAGCCCGAAATATCGGTCGGGTGTATGTCAAGCAAAAAAAAAGAAAAATCACCAATATTTCGTAGTCGAAAATCAAAGAATTTCAGGATATCATGACGAAATATTACGGAAGTTTCGAATCCCTGGCACTCCCGAACCCACCCTGCGCCAGAAGCGCGCAATTTTGCAAGTTTTCAAGGCACAAACGGCCTTTCCCTTCCGTCGACTGAAAACACTATGTAAGAAGCAGCGGCACCAGGAGCAACAAATATCGAAGATATTTGGGCCTGCTGGCCGCGATTTGGGCGGCCGGTTTCCGGAAGTACGCCCCAGCGGCGACACGCAGAGCTCCCTCGCTGTTAAAAAGTATTATAGAAATAAGCAAAAACCAAATCATATAGAAATATATAAAATAACAGTGTGCCCTCTTGCACATACAATTTCTTTGTCTTGATTGAATTAGTCCGGGAATTTCTCAAATAAGAACGGGTGCTCCAGCGCCTGAATTGCGATTTCGCTATTTCCTGGGAATCGAAACAAGGCACAAGTTCCAGGCCATCTGAGACGACGGACGCCGTTCGGGATCAAGAATGAGGAGCGATGCGGTGAAGTTGGCCAAGGACCTTGACTTTTTGCAACGGCGCGTGTTGCAACCTTGACGTTTTTGCAACGGCAGCAAATACATGTGATTGCTATCACCCAAGCAGGACACTTCCTGCAAAAGCGGAGAAGAGCGATGCAATCAAACTCATGCCATGAAAGAAAAGGTCCCCCACCCCCACCCCCACCCCCACCCCCACCCCCACCCCCACCCCCCCATGCAGCCCTGACATAACCCGGGCACTTCTGCCTGCAAAGCACACCATGGTGCGGAACTGTGGCAACTTGGCTGTGGTGTGAAGGTGTGACTGCCGGCTGCAGGTATTGAAAAAGGAATTACAATTCTTGCAAAGTGGGCTGATGCTGGGCTGCCAGCATGTGCTCCTTTTGCACAAGCTTATGCAATGCCTTCTGCTGCTTGACCTCCAGCTGCAACTTGCAATTTCTGCCACCAAAATACACCCACATTTTTCGGGGTCTCCTAACACACATGGTCCATACTATTCTGCATTCACCATGACCAGCCTTCATGGCAGATTCTGCTTCAGGCGAACGCAAACGCCAAGCTTTGGGGTCCTGCCGCTCGACAAATCGCAAAGCATCGCAAAGCGAGCTTACCTTCCCAGTTCGGATCCTTCTGCACGAATCGGCCATCTGGTCTTTGCCCAGCCCTTTCTAGAAGCGCTTGAGGGAACCTACAAGACAAGGACACAGTTTTTCCGCAAGCAAACCCATGCCTCTCAATGCTCTGCTCCATCATCGAGAGATGTTCTAGACTTTCATGAGTCCTGAACCTTACAATGCGATTGGCAAAGCAAACCAAAACATCGCAGCGAAACATGGCGGAGAAGCAGGAGTTCGCCAGTATAGAGCTCCACTACGATGCATCCAACTGACCACAAGTCTGACCGCTCATTCCAACCTCAGTACCGCGCAGTCGCAGAACGAGCAACATTTGTGTCAAGGCCCTGCAATATCCTCGCATTCGGATGGATATCTATCCTGTGCGAATATGTTATCCTTTCTTCTCTTCTGTTGTCCTATCTTATCCTATCCATCCCATGTTGGCCTATCTTACCTTGTATTATCCGATCGTAGCCTATCTTATCCTTTATATTTATTGATCTATCCATCCATGTATACATATATATATATATATATATCGATCTATCTACCTACCTATCTATCTATCCCACCCTATCCATTATACATTCCATATCTTTCCTATCTATCTCATCGTGTGTGGCTTATGTATGTCTTACCTACCTTATCAACCTTATCTAGCTTGTCTATATCTAACTTATCATGTATTATGTTTGATTAGCCTATCATATCCGCCTTATGCTGCCTTATCCTATCCTACCCTATCTTATCCGATGTGTCTATCAATCTATCTATCTATCTACCAATCTATCTATCGTATCTATCCTATCTAGATATCATACATGGCCTATCTTTCCTATCTGTCCTATTTGTCTAATGTTATCTATCCTATCTACATTGTCCATAGTATCTGGCTGATCTATCCTATATGTCTTATCTACGTTGCCTATCATATCTATCACGTCTGCACTCTCTACCTTGATACATTGTCTTGTCTTATCCTATCTTAACCTATCTTATCCTATTGTATCCTATCTTATCCTGCCTTATCCTGTGTAGTCCTTTCTTATCCTACTATCCCATGTTGGCCTATCTTGCCGTGTCTTATCCAATCTTAGTCGATATTATCCTATGTATTTATCGATCTATCTATCTGTCTATCAATCTACTTGTTGATCTATCTGTCTACACACATACCTATCTATCTATCCTATCCATCTCATCTTGCCTAACTATCATATCTATCCTATTTTTCCTACCTGTTCTGTCTATCTCATCGTATCTATCTATTGTTCCTGTCTTATCTACCTGATGTATCTTATTTGTCGTACCTACCTTGTCCATCATGTTTTTCATATTTATACATGTGCATATATAATATATATATATATATAATATGTATACTATTGATCCTATCTGTCACTGGGCACGGACGCGGCTACACACTCAGCGCCAAACCCAGTGAAAGGATCACTTCTGGTGCGCGGTACTGCCTGCGTTATTGGCAAGCACAAGACCCAGTACGTTGCCATGCTGCAAGCGCTGTACCTGGTGTTAATGATGGAGGAGTGATGCTCCAACTCGTAGGTTGCATTGCCTGATGTGGTGGCAGGTCGAAGCCCGCCGCAAATCTCAATATGCATAGCAGGGCGCCAAAGTCAATCAGCTTGATCTGGGTGGATACTGGGCGCACCTTGGCCAGCTTGCAGCATTACCATGAATTCATTCTGCCACAGCTGGACATGAACGGACACCAAGAAGTCAACATGGGTGCATCCTTTTTTGGGGTACCCCCTGCTTTGGAGGTTTCAAAAGAAACCAACCAGGACAACCCCTTCTTTTCTTTTCTTTTGCTTTGGCGGGGGGTCCCCTTAAAAAGACACACCCACATAACGCACACATGATGCTGTGCACCAAGGACCCTGCATATTCAGTTGTGCAATTGCGAGCCGAGGGCCGAGTCTGAGCTGCTTGCCAGAAAGCCTCGCAAAAAAAGGAGCAAAAAATGACTTCCAACTTTCCGCGCAGCCTGCCTCCCGCGGAAACGCGGCTGATTGAGGAAGGTCTGTGGACCGAAAAAGCACCTAACTGCTTCATGTGCTTCCATGCTTACTTACTTCACATTGAACGTGCATTGCAAACAGGCCGGAGCAACATTTTCAAGCTTGAGATCTGTGTGAGTCAGACTCAAGTCCAAGTGGAGGAAGCGTAATGCCTTCAAGCACTGGTCTGCCACACTTTGAATGTCCTCCGGCAACGACAAAACTAGACTTTCAGTCAGTAAAACATGGCGAGTGAGCCAGCAGTGTCCTGCACCCAAAGCCCTCGGTAGCGATTCTTCTTCAGAAGGTCATAGAGCGACATCCCAAGCACCTCTCAATCTGCTCCTTTGTCTTTGCCCCTGTTACAACTGCTGGCCATCCCCAGCCTCGCAAACAAGGCAAAACAGCCTTTCTCCATCAGCCTCGTGGAAGAAGGTCTCGTGCAATCGCACCTCAAAGAGGCACACAAAAGCTGAAATTCCTGGGACGAGTTCTGAGTCAGAGGTAGCAACGCAGCCGCTGGATCTGCCCGACTCTGCTTTTCGGATGTCCTGACAGCAAGCAGGCTCCTTCTCAGACAGAGCAGTGTTGCAATCACTAAGCAGGTCATCCTTGAGGATTTCCGCCTCTCGCATTGCATTGCGGGTGTACTTGTCCACCTGTCAAAAAACAGTGGTCATCACTCTCTGTTCAAGATTTTCCGAGTGCGGCGCATTCCGAATGACCTTGATGGCCACATTTCGCCTCCTGTTTAGATCTTCCGCAAGGACGACTCGGCCAAAGGTACCATCGCCAAGCAGGTCAAGCACAGTGTAGCGGGCATTCATTTTCAGACCCGCTGTCCACCTGGCAAGCATTCCAAGAACTCCAGCACCAAGTTGGCGTTGCACAGCCAACTCCAAACCTGCCTGAAATGCTGGACCTCATCTTTGTCCAATCGTGGGCCGCAACCAGTCTTCTTTGGCTGGTCCTCCTCTGAGGAATATGAAGTGCTATACCGAGAGGCCTCTTCGGCGCTATCGGTACAGGCACTCACGGAGACTGCAGCCTTCCGCCGCGACTTGCTCCGCTTGCTTCTGCTCCGCGCTTGCTCCGGGCTTCGTTTCCGGCTGCTGCCGTAGCCCAGCCCAAACATTGCGAAGGCGTGCCATTTAGGTGCACGCCGCGTGCGCCATGCGCGCGATGAGCGCAGCCCGTTGAAGCAGCAACATGTCAAGCTGAAAGGTCTGGCTGAACTCTGAAAGCTATTCAAGTGCTGCTTGTCTTTCGCTTCCTTACTCTCGAGGGGGGTGGTGGGGGGAGCATTGGGTCAATCCCTTTGTTTGTCAATGCTTCTTGTGTCTGTGCTGTAGCGGTCGTCGTTGGCACTGTGTTTCCTGTGCAGCACAGCTTCAGCATGCCTCCAACACTTTTCACTGGCTCTGCCACTCGCGCTTTTGCGTCCACGCGTGCAATGTCAACGCTCCAATTGTCTCTTCATGCAAACTATCTAGAAAGTATGCCTATGGCAAGCGAACCAGCAAGTTCTTGCATGTGATTCTTTTTACAAGCCAAGCCAGTGGCTGGTCACTGCACCTTCACACCTCTGGCTTGCTCGTGCTTTCTTGGGCACTTTCGGGCTGGGTGCCTTTGCTCTCGTCCACGTCATCGTCTTCGTCAGCCATGTCTGCTGTGACGTTGGTCTCGTTCTCTTCCATATCCTGGAGCTTTGGAACTAGCTCAGCAACTATCTGCTTCATGTCCCTCAAATGCTTCAAAAAGATGGCTTTCCGCATCTGCAACCCGGCCCTCCCCTTCGCCTTCTCCTTCTGCAGCTCCTCAACGCTGGGAAGCGCCTGCTTCTCTGAGCCTGGCCTGCGCGACTGGCCTTTGAACAAATTGGACCGAACGGAGTGCAACAATTAGGCTGGTACCTTTTGGCCGGGAGGGGGGGGAATGAACGTTTGCCTTCGGTCAACCCACGTTGCTGCTACCTGCTTGGCAACAGGCGACAAAAATGAGCTACCCCAGGCCAATTGCAAACCGCCGCCCACGGCCACGCTGTTCATGACCCTTCACCGAAACTTGGGGCGCTGCAATGCTGTGAGCTTGTCGACGCCCCAGGCGAGCACATCTGCATATGAGCTTGTTACGAGGTCCTTCACGAGCAGCAAGCTGTGCTTGCTGCGCATGGCTGCCGTAGCGCGAGACGCGTCCAAAACTCAAAGTGCTCAGCGAGCCAGAATCAACATTCATAGTCCCCCAATAACGCTGGATTTTGGTGAGCCTCCTCCATTTCCTAATCCTAGTTGGCTGAGCGTGACCTCCACTACGGCATACTACTGTAAACATTGACCTGTTGCTCACCATATGACTGGCAAGGCCCGCCCGTCCTGGACATCCTCAAAAGATGTTGTCTCAGCAATCTGCTGCATGGCGACGGCTGCTATGCCCAAGCTGGCAAACCGAACTAGCAGCATGAGCGCGTCATCCTTCCTCTTCTCCCAAGAATAAATGGGCTGGAAGGAGTCCAAAAAGCCGCAGTACCTCAGACAGAAAATGCATCCAGGCTGTCAAGATGGAGCGACACTTGCCCCGGAAGTATGTTAAGCCAGGCGCTCATCGTTGAGGTTTGGGAAGATCCAGAAGTCGAATCCTACAATCCAAAACATTGTGAAAATGAGCATCCGCAAGATCAGGACGCCAAAGTAGAGCGTCAAGAAAATCACGCTCAGGTACCACACGCCCACCTGCTTAAGTAAATACTAAGTACGCAATGATGCATTTTGTTGATGCACTATCTAGCCCGCGGCCTTTGCCCACATTGGCCACACAGGGAACATGCACGCCAGCAGCACCCCAGCGATGATGAGAGCCAAGAGGAAATGCTGCAAGCCAGTTCCACTCTCGTAGGTGACAACATAAAACCTCAACTGCTTCGGACGCCAAGAGCAATCACAAAACATGAGAGAGTGTCATTTTCTGAGGCTAGCCCTTCTTTGCGGTTTTCTTTCCGGGAAACCAAAAGGAGAAACCCACCTCCATTTTGGGGGTTCCCAACCGATCAGGCAACTGGGTTCCGGGCCCTTCACAGTCGAAGCTCTGATTGGGTGCCCTTCCCAAGCGGTCGGGCCACTTCTTGGGCTTCTTCTCAGAACCATCATCAGACTTCGACGTGGCATTCAGCGGCTTGTACATTGCCTGACCGGAGAAAACCTTCTTGTTTTTGCGTGCCAAAGGAGCACCAAGAAAATGTTTGGGCCTGGCCTTGTAGCAGAAATTTCGCTGAATCAATTCATTGCCGAGCCGTTCGCAATCACGGTCATTCTCGGGCACGGCTCCCTCTAGTGTCTCTTCCAAGGCTTTGGTGCACTTTTTGTTCAAAATGGTGTCGTTTTCGAGTAAGAACTTCTTGAAGTCTTTTCCTCGAAAGTAGTCAACCTTCTTTTTACCGACCTCAGATGCATCCAGCACAAAGTACCCAAGCGAAAGCATTTGGCGCTTCTGCACAGGACTGCGAAGGCACAACCTCCAAAAAGTTTGTTTTCGGGTTTAAGCCAGGAAGCTTCACTCGCGCTTTTCGTTTTGATGCCCTTCTTGCCCAAAATCACCTTCATCAAGGGCTCAAAGGTCGGGTCCCATTCCGGCTCCTTGTCATTCTTGCCCTTTCCTGCAAGCTCTCCAGTGGCGCGCATGCCATGCCACGCCTCTGAGGCCCGGGCTGAACATGTTCAAAGCAGCAAGTCGCAAGTCGCGAGCGCGCGATCAAAACTTGGACACACAGTCCACGAAACCTCTAAGCCAAAGCAACACGGGGCGCTTTGGTAGCAAGAAGCATGTGAGCCTTAGACATTGCTAACCTTGGCTTGAACTTGAAACGTGACTTTTTAATCTGAATTCCTTGCGATGTGCATGGCTTCCACAGCCACCTCTGCCTGAATTTTGATTCCTTGACCCCTGCCCTGTGGGCAGGGACCTAGAGTCAAGAGACGTGTGGCTTCTGTAGCATGGCTTGAGGTGTCAAGTTTGCCGAGCCACGCATCTCAGGAAATGCTGCAAGAATTGCAAAGCTGCATGCACTTGCGAATTAAGTGGGGGGGTGTCAATCACACAAAGGTCTCTCACAGAATGATTTCTCTTGTTGAATCATCTCCAGTGTTCATGTTTCGGATGCCAAGGCATCCCCCAACTTTACTTTGCACGCCGAGAGTTCACGGGTTGCCTGTCAAGCAGCAAGGCCCCCAAAGAAATATCCCGAGGCAAGCAAGCAAGGCATGCATTGGGTTTGCGGCATGGGTGCCTGCCAGTGGCTTTTGGGCCGGTCACAGGCCGTACGCAACGCTTGGGTTTGCCACCGGTGTTGCACTGACTGACCTTCGCAGCGAACCAGATTTTGCAGATCGGTCGGCATGGGCAAGACTTGCACATCCTATGCAGGGAAAAACTGGCCTGCGACGCAAAGCGCAGCGAGCATAGCGTCTCGTGGGCATGCTCCATCTCTGGACCCACATTGACAACCATCAGCGTTTTGCCCTGCCCGTTCAGGCAAGGCCTGAGGACAGAAATGATCACAAGCACTGCTGAGATGGCTAAGGCTGGCACTCCATCAAATGAGTCCTTGGAGCTCAGTTGACACCGCCAGCTCCGCTTGGTATTCGTTTTTTCTGAGGCTTTCTCAGCTTCGAATTTCTGAAGGGAATGTGGGCACGGCCCTCGGCCTTTGCCAGGAAGACATCGGCCAAGCTTGACCTTGTGATCTGCCCCATGCACGGCAAATAGCCCTTGCTAAGGGCTCCGCAAGCTTTTGTTGATGTTTTGTGTCTCCTTCAGCCTGTCGCCGGTTGAGCCGGACCTGGGTCAACAGGTAACCAGCTACACCGTTCGCCTGCGATGAGACGCCGGCTTGTCCAGCCGCTCCGACCCGGCCAAGTCAACCAGATGCAGGGCACCCTGGAGTTCCTGGCGAGCGAAGTGCGGATCGGATCTGCGGATCGGACGCGAGCTGGGTCCCTGGGTTCCGGGCGCAATCGAGCTCGCGGTTCACGCCATGCAAGTACAATGCAAAGACAGAGTGTGACCGCGATGATGTTGCGTTCATATCCGTCGCTCCTACCTTAGTAGAGTGCAGCCAAATGCCAAATGCCCTCTAAAGCCAATCTAGCAAACTGCTCAACCTCAACCACTTTGCTGCCTGACGTGTCCGTCTGATCCAAACATGAATGAGTTGCAGCTCGCGCTCGGGCGGCTTTCTCCATGAGTCGGTTGATGTGATCCATTCGACTCACCTGCAGAAGACAGCCACGCATTTGAAGCCCGCGCTGACCGCGAGCCCAGTGAAGCGAACAAACGCATGAATACATTTGCATTCAATAGACAATCGTGCACATTGCAAAAATACAAATAAAAAAATAAAAATCTTCTCAGCAGCGCCTCTACCGCAGTCAGGTTCGTGACCATGGTGCCATAGGCATCATCATGCTTGATCACATGCACCATTGAGGAGCTGTCATCAAGCAAGTCCCTGAGCACCTCTGCAACATCAGATGGTTGATGAGCTGAGCAAATCTGGCAAGCCTCATTGTACACCTCCAGGAAAGAAACTTTCAGCTTCCAGTCCCATCCTTAGCAACTGGGCTACTTTCAGATCCCGCTTCATACTGCCCACACCTGTTGCGCGCATGGCTTCTGAGGACTGCAGTATCTTTGACAAACATCGCGGGATCAAGCCTCGGTTTGCTGCAAAAGGATGGCCACGCCAGACTCATTGAGTGCCCCCGCCACTTGCTCCACATTCAGGGGTTCCTTGCATAGTGAAGGTCTTGCCAGAGCCAGTTTGGCCGTACCTTCACAATCGCGCCGCATGCCAGTGAAATTGTGGTCATGTCGATTCACACTGAGGCGGCCGCGCAAAGATGCACACTTTGTACCCGTCCTTGTTCGCAACTGCTGTGTCAAGCTGCCCATGTCGCATGAATGTGGTGCAAGTTTGCGAGTGTTCAGGGCTATCACCAGAGCAGATTGAACAAGCCCACCGACTTCATCAAAGACTGCCTGCCGCAGTGAGTAGAGCACAGAATGACCCTCGCAGTGATTCAACATGACTGCATTCTTGACAAGAGGTGGGCCAACCGGCCTCCTGGGTAGAAGTGGTTTCGAAGACGCGATCAAAGCCGAAAGAATAGGATTCATTCATGTAATCCAAGGCGATCTTGTTCTGCAAGCCGCTTGCGAAAGCTCCCTACTTTCTCTGTCTTTTTTGAGGATGCCTGGCCTCCGATACTTGCATGCTGGGCGGCGTCTCCGAAATCTCCATTTGCGGTCGGATGCGACAGAAGACGCGGATGTTGCCCTTCAACTCCTGCCGGGCAATAGCGAGGTGCTGGAAAGAGACCGCTCGGTACGAATCAGGCGGATGCCATTTGCGCACGGTGCGCACCACCCCCATCCCCATCATCTTGGCAAGCAAAGCGGATAGATTGAAAACTAGGCCTCATCCCATTCAACACTGGGCCAATGTGCCACGAAGCATCCGTCCAACCAATACCAAGTCAGGCTTCTACTAGGGGCAAGAAGAGAATGTAGCTATAGTATTAAACTTGAGAAGGGCTGGACCGAAAGCTGGCACTGCTTGCCACAAGAGCCATGTCCCTAGCCTTCTTTGGACAAGTCAGCTCAGGCATATCTAAATGGTAGGTCCAAACAGGTGGCAAGGCATTAGCCTGCTTTAGAGGAGTTCTCTTCAGGTATCGTCCATAACTAACAAGTCTAATCAGGCTGCAAAGGATGCGTTCGGGCTGCAAAACAAGTGACCAGCCGGTGCAGATCGGACAGCGTGGGAGTCGAATCCCATGCCGCAACTCCAAAACAGCCCCAAATGCACACCCCAGCTTCCTTTACAATCCGTTGGTACTCATCCCAAGTAAAGCCTCTTCGCCGCCAACCTGCAGGATATTACCCGGAGCACAGCAACAAGAGCACGCCTGAATCATATTGTGGAGCTCCCGACGGGTGCATTCTGAACGCGCAAGCTGATTCTCCAAGGAAATGATATAGCCTCAGCAGATCGATCCCCATCGAACCAACCTGTTGCCCTCGATGCTGCGGCCTTGATGCTGCGAAACGTTGCCCTTCTGAACCTGCAGCTCGGCTTTTGTGAAGTCCACCTGCTTGCTGAGCTTGTCCACCTCAATTCCAGAACGCATCGACCAGCAAGAACATCGCTGTCAGGTGGCTTGGGCCATGCCCTGGACGAGAGGAATGAACTTTGAACTCATTAAACGCGTACTGAGTGGCCCAAGAATAACCGAAAGGAGAAAACCCTTGTCAGGCACTGGCCATCTGGCGGGGCTGACCGCAAACGAGCTCAGGTTCCAGGCTGTAAGTCTGAGCTCCGTGATGGCTTCCATTTGCTGCTGGTTGCTGGTCCCATGATGGTCCTTGTAGCTGCGGAACTCCACCTACGGGAAAGCTTGCACCGCAAGCACACCAGGACCTCGCTGGGAAATTTCTTCGGGTCTCTGCTACAATATTGACAGCACTGCGCCTCCAATGAGTCACGCTGCTGGGTAAGCTTCTCGCACTGGGCTTGTCTGGCCTCGGGCTGGGGTTTGGATCGGGGCGCTTGTGCTGCGCCTTAAGTTGGCTGCATCGGCTGACGCTTGCAGGATGCCAAACTCCTAACCGTCGATTCGACAGCCACCATAGCCACCATCAACCCACCATCAACCTGACACACCATGAAATTGCAGGGCTCCTGCTGAAGGCCACCAAAGCGCGTCCTGAGGTGGACGATCTCCTCCTGAAGCAGGTGGCTGACACTAGACGTGAGCCAACTTCTGGAATTGGACCTGCAAAGCCGCTTGTCGTTCAGAAGCTTTCTCAAACCTCGCTGCATCGCTTGGCCAGTTGACCCCGCGAAGAACCGGGGCCGCCACTGCTGATCCTTTTCACCCTCCAATCTCTGCACCGCTTGGCGGAGCTCTTGGACGAGCTGCCTCACAACATCACACAACATATGCCGTGCAACCGACCCACCTGCCTCGACGACGCCAACTCCGACTCCGCCATGTCAGCTCTGTGGGAGCCGGCCTGTCAATCCGGCGCGGCAGGAAACGTTCAGCTGTGAAGCTCGCACCAGCGAGCTGCTGCGGAGCTCGTCCAACTGGTCGCGGAGATCTTTCACCTGGCATGTTGAGCCGAAGGCGTGCAATGCAGACTTTGAACCGAAGCCTCGGCTTCCAGTTTGTGGACTCGCTGCTGCCTCAGCCAGGTGCGTGTGTTCAATTAAGACTTGGGCCAGCCAAAGGCCCACACTCGAGTCGCAGCTGCTCACCCGCCGTGTTTTGAAGGAGCTGCATTGACTGAAAGGTATCCCGCAGGTTCGCTTCCTCAGGTCGCATGAGTGGCAACGCGTGTGCGCGCGCAACTAAGAAGCCTGCCTTCTCTGCCAGTTGGCGGCGCAACGACTCAATCATCTCCCTGAGGGAGCCATCCTTGCAGCCAGCATGCAATTCTTGCGCCGGGAGAAACTGTAAACTGTCCTGTTGGCGGAAGAATGCCTCCTTGTCCTGCAGCACAGCCTGCTGAACCCTTTCGCGGTTCTCCATCTCTATCTCCTCGCGGGCGGAAAACCGTCTTTGCTGACATGCGTTGACGCTTTCAAAAGGACATCAGAAGCTTGGCACCTTTTCAGCCAGCTTCTGCTGCAAGGACTCCATGGCTGTCTGTGCTGCCTCCTCCTTTGCCAAGCCCCCCCCCCCAAAAAAAAAAACACGCTCGGGCTGCACATTCGATCCTTGATGCGATGGGAGGTTTCTGACTCCTCGAGGAGCTTCTGCTGATGCCGGAGCTTCTCCAGGCAATTCCTCATCTCTGAGCCCTGGCCATACGTCGAGTCATCTCAGCAAGCTGACGGAAACTGCCTTGTCGGCAATCTGCTGGTGCAGTAGTCCAATAGCATCCTTCTGAGCTGCTTCCTGTCCAGAAGCCAGCAAGACTGAACTGGCTAGTGGCCACCAGCACATGTCAGCACATGCAGCGAGCGACACAGGTGCTACCGGGAGACCTTCTCTTCATGTGCTCGCATTCGTTCTTCGAGCACCTTCTTGTGAGTCTGCCCCAGGCTGTCAATAAACTCTCTGAGCTCAGCCTCCTGCAACACTTGCCACGGCCGTCTGTCAACACTGACATGAGCCAATCAGCTGTGCCTGCTGGCGGTGAGCTGATTCCAACTCGCGCGTGGCAGTGTCGTGTGTCATTCGGAGACTTTTAATGGACTCTGTCAGCTGGCGCTCCTGTCATGCCGCAGCTTGTCAGCATGCAGCGCAAGGCTTGTTCCTTTCTACCGCCCAACTAGGCCAAGTCAGCGGCTGCCCGTCCTTCTGATCCAGCTCGGCCTGGTGCGCTTGCTCGAGCTGTTCCATCTTTGCGGACAACTTCTCGTCCTGTGAGAAGATGTGGGCTGCATGCAGGAAGCCGCCCGACAACCCAGGCCTTTTGTCGGAGAGCCAAATCTTTGTCTTGCATGGCAGCTTGATGCTTCTTGGTCAGATCTTCCATTCGGCACGTCATTTCGCATTCCTGGCCAAATAGCCAAACAGAAACGTGTCCAAAGCCAGCTGGCCCTGACAACAGCATCAGAATCCCGCTGTCGCGACAGAGTGAACGCACGTCTTTGACATGACCATCCTTGTTCAGCGCACTCCCCCCATCCCCAGCCAATCAGCAGCACCAGAACCAGCAAGGCTGGATAAACCAGAAAATCCTTCACAGTCCACAAAGCGGACCCAAATGATCGGCCAAAACCACCGTGCCTCGAGCACGAGCCGCCTTTGCCCCACCCCCCCCCTTCAGGGCTCGCGGTGGATCTGCTAGCTACGCTACCTTTCGTGATTTAGCAGGCATAATTTGCCAATCAAGCACACCTCCTGCACACCAAGGCCAGCCCTGCAGGCACGGCTCGACATAAGGAACTTTCATGCGAATCCCGAGCGAGTGCCACACGGGTCCTTCTGCTTCAGCTCAGCTTGGTGCGCTTGCTCGAGCTGTTCCAGCTTTGCGGACATCATCTCTTCCTGTGATTCGTGTGAGTGGCACAAAATGTGCACGCAACTGGGCATGCAACGTTGCAACAACCTGGGTTGAATGTAAAGGGCTTCCACAAAGCAAGGCCTTTTGTCTGTGAGCCAAGTCTTTGTCTTTCACAGCCGCTTGGTGGGTCTTGGTCAGATCTTCCATTTGACCTGTGACGTGCTTCTGCTGGCGTCAAGGCAGTTCTGACTCAGCGAGGTAAATGCTGAGAGCTACATGCATGCCACATGTTCTTGAATGTGCTGCCCAAGTCACTGATGGCAGCTTTTAGCTCGAGCTCCTTTGAGAACTTGTCTTCGATCCGTGGACATGTACCCCATGCATCACCCCGTCACACTTCAACCAAGGGAATGGACCGCAAATGGAAAAGAGCAAACTGCTGCCATCTTCATTAGTTGACGTGTGTTGACTTGCATTTCTGGGAGCAATTATGCCGCATGCGTCCTTGTCGTTCATGGCTTGCTGATGCGACTTGCGGAGCTCATGCAAGTCAGCTTTTCCTGAGGCCTCCTGGCACCAAATGCCCTAAGCAACACAAGAGAAGTCCCGCGCGACCTTCTTCTCGCTGGTCTTCTCAAGCCCGGCCATCTGACGCCTGTGCTCCTGCTTGAGGCCATCTTTTGCCTTCTCGAAGTCTGCCTGAGGCAAACCAGTCAAGCATCCGTGCCAACAGAACCTCGGCGGGGCCCAGCCGGCCATGAGGCAGCCGCAATCAAGACAGCCTCCTTCTTGCGGTGCGCTTCCACCAGTTGCTCCTGGGCCTTCAGGACACAAACAGAAGGCCCGGCCAAGCAAAACCGCGGCTCCGTCCAGCAAACCGAAATGAAACTTGTCAAACAGCTCAAAGTCCACTAGCGCAAAAACAAGGAAACCACAAATCCCAATGACCATGGTTGCCCTTGGCTTTGTTTTCGTTTTTTTGGGTGTGCAACCACATCTAAGAGCTGCCCGTTTTCTAACTCCAGGCCGCCTGCATGGTGTCGTTCACCTGCCGCCGCAGCAGCTCTGCTGCCTGCCATTGGGCTACGTTGAGAAAGGGATTTGATATCAGGGGGGTCTTTTGGCCGCCTGCTGTGAGAAAATTGGCGACCCCTCAAAAGGAATCCTTCACTGCAAGGGGGGTCGATCATTTCTCCAAAGGTGGCAAAAAGACCCCCCTGTTTGATCCAGGCGCGCCTCTTCCATCTGCGCCCGGTGTCTGTCTCCAAGCTCTTCACACTTTCGCTTGTATCTTGCTGCCTGGCGCAAGGATGCATCGCTGAGGCCTTTTTGAGGTAACTTGGCAGGGTCGCATCTTCGGAGTGAGCTTGGGCCGCTTTCCTGGCATTTTGCCCAAGACAAGGCTGGAATCAGTATGCCCGCCGGCCTTTGCTCCTCCAAGTCCTTCTGCAGCTTTGTGGCTTGGCTTGATGCCTCCTTCAGCTGCTCTGCCAAAGATACCTCACGCCCTGGCTACATCATATGATGCATATGGCACCAAGATTGTGCCAGCGCCTCAAAATCCTGGCCTGCATCACAACACATGCCAGGCAAACGCTTTGCTCCCTCGGCATTGTTCTTCAAGCGGCTGTGCTCAGCCCTGAGGGCTGTCAGTTCCTGCTGCGTTGAGTGGAGCCGGTCGTTGACCTACCAAGAGCTCACACACACACACACACACAGAGCGCAAGTCTGTGTTCAGCTTAATGCAACTACCCCGACACACTGTTTCGGGGTTTGCCTCGGTCACATCATGACGAAGGGAGGCCGCTTCTTGCGCAGATTCGCGCAGCCTGAGCGGGAATGCCAAACTTGTTGCCATGGTGAGTCCTCAGCAAGCTGCTGGTCATTGATGCCACGCTCTGTGCCTAGCAAGGCCTCGGGTGGCGAGGTCAAGCCCCTGCTGAGCACAATAGCACATCTAGCGATGCATTCCTTAGCCGCAAACCTCGATCAAAGCCCGGGCTTTCAAGCGTTGATCAGAGACCGCATTCTTCAACGGGTTAATCATAGCTTGAAGATCTGCAATCTTATCTTTGAAGTCATACTTGCCAGCAGTTGGCTTCAGCCTCAGCACCTTAGTGCAACTTGGGATGACGGCAAAAAAGGCAAAACTCGCATGGCCGCACTCATCTGTGGCAGGCGCTGGCAGCACATCATCAGGATCACCGATCGTTCTGCGCAGCAGTCCCTGCAAATCAACCTCTTCCGGTGAAGCCTCGTCCTTTTTGGCCTCCGCGCGACATCCAGCGAGCGACCCACTCCCACTCCCATGGAGTTCCTTCTCTTCGAGCTTGGTGGGCAAACTCCTAGGTTTGAATCCGAAGCGTGCTCGGTCGTGATCTGTCGGCCTGTCCTTGCAAATGGCATCAACATCAGATCCAACTGCACATCAAGCAGGCAGTCCTGGGTGTTTGCTGGCTGCAAGTTCTCGTCATTGACTCGCCTCATAGCAAAGACAATCTTGTCGGCCTTTCTATGGCAAGTGGCCCCATCGTTCGCTGAGAGCCTGACTCTCGGCTTGCAACCTCTTGGAGTATGCAACGGTAGGCCATCTTGAAATATGCTTGCCCCACTTGACCAAAATGTGCGGCGGTTTTTGACGGCAAGGATACGCCATGCCATGCCATGGCACAACTGCACAAGCATCCCTTACGCACTGACCACAACAACGATGTTTCTCCTGGGCGGCCATGGGTTGACAATGCTGAAACAGGCGGAATTGCGCCCCACAGCCCGAGCCGCACCAAACACCTCCAACGCACTGCTGCCCCTCACGGGGCTGTGATGTTATCTGCGGTCACGGTCTCGACCGCGGCTGCGACTTCGGCTTCTCCGTCGCCTGCGACATGCGCCCAGACTCGGTTGACAGATTGCAACTGCCTCAGATCTGTGCCTCCTGCTGTTACTTCTGCTTCTTCGGCGGCTGCGGCTTCGGCTGCGGCTTTGGCTTGCACCAGCAGCTGCAACCTGACATCGCCGACACACACCCATGCAGCCCCTTCCTCCCGGACAAACCTACGGTGGCTGGACGCAAGCAGTGGCACAATCTGCAAAGGTTCGTTCAAATTGTGACGTCAAATCACGCGCGCGTGCCATACGGAACGTGCCGGCAAGCTGGAGTCTGCTGGGAGGCTGGCTGCCCGTTTCAGCCGATCTTTGCGTGAGTATGCTGCAAGTGCCCCATCTGCAATTTGAGCATCCACGGCCTCACGACGCCCACCATATACAGGGCTGCATTCAAACATCTGGCCTTTCGTCCAGCTTCCGTCAACTCTTTCACGCGGGCAACCAGGTGTGCCCCTATGGCATCTGTCAAAGGCTTTGAAGCCACGGCAGCCTTAGTTAGCATGCTGCATGCTGGAACTCGCTCTCTTTCGCTTTGGGTGTGTCTTTTTTTAGGGTACCCTTTTCTTGGTGGCTTTAAAGGACAACAACCAAAAAACCACACATCCATTTGCCAGGTCCCCTAAAAAAGGCACACCCCTCTCTCCCTCTCTCGCGCTTCTCGTCGCTGAGCTTGCAGCTGTGATCTTTGCAAGCTGCACCACTTGGTCCGCTGAAAGCCGCGACTTCTTCTCCGTTTCGCGGCGCTGCTTGGTGACCTGTCGATTGCATCCGTCTCCCCAGCTGGCAGTTGGGGGTGGGGGTGGGGGTGGGGTGAGTTTAACCTTTTGGGGTGTAGTGGAAACCACCTTTATTTCCCAAAAAGTTAAAGTCTAAAGATCCAAGCCAATAGCAGCCAAGATTGGCTTGCGTCCGTCTCTCCAGCTGGCAGTTGCAGTGTGACATTCCTAGCATGCTGAGAGCGCATCTTCGTCGTCGCTGTCCCATCCACCCCCAGCTCCCTGACAAGTGGAGATGGCGGAAATACGATCCAAAGCCCACCCGAGAAACGACTGGAACTTCAGCGAAACAGGCCTTTGTCCACTCCTTCAAGGTCTCCGACCAGAACTCAACCAACCTGGTTGCAATGGAAAGCGGAATGTGCGCAATGCTGGCATGTGATTGCTGCCATCAGAAGCTTGCTCATGGCTCAGTGGGCGGCTTATCGACCAGGCTGTGCTTGGCCCCAAGGCCCGCCACCAGTCCCTGGCCGCATCTCTCCACTGGACTTTCTTCGCCACAAAACTTGGTTGACGTTGAAAGGGGGGCAAAAAATAAAATTTTAGCAGTTAAGTGGGGATTTCCCACTAAACCACAATAAGCAAAAATGTAAAAAAAAAGAAGAAAGCGCCTGCGACAGCACCAGCAGCTGCGCCGGGGGGAACCCGGAGATGCGGCCTGGGGCAAGCTCCGCGACTTTTCCCCCCGCGTTGGATTGACCGAGCCGGCCGAGGCGTGCACGCTCAATGGCCTCCTCGGCGGCTGCCTGAGGCAAGGCGGACGGTTCCCAACCTAACAACTGGGCTGTGCTCAGATCCCTTGCTGAAAGCTTAACTTTTAGCGGGTCAATTGGACACCGCCACGAAACCCTAAAAAGCTAGAAAGCCGAGGGGATGGCTGGGAGCCACCAAGACAACACAAACCCAAGTGCAGATGTGGGTCGGGCCTCCAGAAGGTCAGAGCACCCGTCACCGGCAACCGCAAGCACCAGCCTGCCAAGGAACCATACACACTTGCCCCTGAACAACATTGGCAATCAAGCAACAAGCGAACTCGAGACAAATGCAGCCAAACCGGCTTGATGACATCTGCTGCCGGCAGGAACCCCAGCTGAGGCTTGAGAGCGACTGCCTCAGCTCAATCAAAAAGAACCGCACCGGCAAGAAAGCAACAGCAACGAGGGACAGGTTCAGGTCCACGAATTGCTGAGTTGATTGCCGCCTTTGTGAGAAGCTGCGACTTGTCTTCAGGATTCAATGCCTGCCGGACAAAGTGATGCTCAATTCAGCTCTCTGTGTGCATTCCCTGCCTTCTTTGCTTTTGCCACTGCAAGCAGCAGACGTACAAGATCGCTCACAGGCCAACTTGCCGCATTTGCCGCAACAGCGCGAGCCTGAGCCGCCGATCAACACAAACTTTACTTGCTGTCAGATGCCATGGCCGGCATGCCACACGAAAGGTCTCGCTGGGACGAGCAGTGCCCTGTGGGCCAGACCACAGCCCCGACAGCTGGGGACAGGCTTGAACTTTTGGTGGAGGCCACTGCAAGCTCCAACAAGCGCGCTGGCTGCAGCTGCTGGCTTGCCAGCCTTAGGAGTCCTTCTGCATTGCAACGCATGGCTGTAGAAACGAGCTAAGAGCGGCACTTCGCAGCCAGCACTTGCGTCGCCTGAGCCTGCGACGCACGTCTGAACCGGGTCAGAAGCAAACTAGCGAGAACCCAAGACCACG